TCTAGGAATGGCTGGTTTCTGTTGTCAATGGATTCCTACCTATGCTCCCTTAGCCACCCTCTCTGTGTCCTCACCCTCCATGATACCCCTGAACCTCTTCAATCTCCCGCTGCTGAATCTTCTTTCCAACTGTTAAAACAGGCCTGTCTTCTGCCCTGACTTTGGGGTTGCCTGACTACTCAAAACCTTTTACTCTTTATTGTCATAAACGAGACTCCTTTGCTCTTGGTGTCCTCACTCAATCTTATTGCTCTGCACAAAGGCCTATTGCTTATTTTTCTACTGTCCTAGACCTTGTGGCCTGTGTCCTTCCCCCTTGCTTTTGAGCAGTCACTGCTGCTGCTGCTCTCCTGGTTGAATGGTCAGCAGACCTGGTTCTTGGTCACACCCTCATGGTGTCTGTTCCCCACTCTGTTTCTGCTCTACTATCACACACCAGGACTAAATTTCTTTCTGCCTTACTTAATATGAAACTGCTTCTTTCTTCTCCACACATTTCTTTTCAACGTTGCCCTTCTCTGAATCCTGCCTCTTTGCTTCCTATTCCCTCAAATGGTGAACCTCATGACTGTGAATTTGTTCTATGCTCTCAAAGCAGAGTCAAGATCTTACTGATGTTCCTCTCCCTAACCCTGATTTGATCCTTTTTACTGATGGCTCTTGTTTCCATTCACCTGCCGGGGCTCTGTTTGCAGGTTTTGCTGTCTGTTCTCCCTTTGAACCTTTGCTGTTTGTCCCCCTCCCTGGGGTACACTCTACAAAAGTTGCTGAATTGGTAGCCCTTACCAAAGCCCTCCAGCTAGCCATGGCCAATCAGCCACTATCTACACGTATAGTCGCTATGCTTTTGGTGTGGTACATGATTTTGGCCAACTTTGGCACCTTTGAGGATCCTCAAAGCCCAAGGATCTCCAATAAAAAATGCTAAATATGTCAAAGATCTTTTGCATGCATTGCAGCTGCCCTCCCAAGTTGCTGTTGTCAAATGCCTCGCCGATCAGACCTCCTCTGACCTGCTGGCTGTCGGAAACTTGATAGCTGATGCCAGTGCCAAACAGGCAGCTCTCACTCCTCTATCCACTTCTACTATCACTTGCATATCTGATGCTTCTCTTTCTTCCATCCCTATCTCCCTTGATCATCTCACTGATACCCAGGCCTCTTCTCCTGCTTCTGAAAACCGTGTATGGTGCAACTCTGACTGTACTACTGATTCCACAGGGGTGTGGCATCACCCAGATAGCCGCCCTGTTTGCCTACACTCTCTTCTACTCTTTCTTGTTCATCTCCAACATGGCCCTGCCCATGTTGTGCCCCAAGGGAGTATCTTCTGCTATCAACAAAGAATGGTTTGCGCCTAGAGTTCATGCTCTGGCTAAACATTTCTGCTGTACCTGCATCATCTGCCAACAATGTAACATTGGTCATTCTACTCCCACTCAACCTGGTTCCCACCCTCCACCTTGGGACTGCTTTGTCCACATCCAGATGGACTTTATTCAAATGCCTAAATGCTGTTCTTATGAGTATGTACTTGTTGTATGTACAATGGTTGGGTTGAAGCCTACTCTTGTGCAAAAGCAGATGCTGTCACCATTGCCAAACAACTTCTTAGGGAATTTTTACCTTGATTTGGCATCCCTATCTATTTAGGGAGTGATAAAGGCACTCATTTTGCAAATCAAGTAATTAAAGAGATTTGCAAGGCCCTTCAAGTATACCAAAAACTCCATTGTTCCAATTATCCTCAGGCTTCAGGAAAAGTTGAATGAGCAAATTCCACCCTTAAAAATAAGATTGCTAAGCTGTGTGCTGAGACTAATTTAAAGTGGCCTGACTACCACTTGCCTTGATGTCCATGAGAATGACTCCATCCAAAACAATGGGCCTATCCCCTATGAAATCCTGATGGGGCGGCCCATGAGAATGCCTGCCTCTCCTCCATCTCTCATACACCTGACTGACTTTCATGCCCAGGACAGTATCATGTTAGACTTTTGCCATACCCTTGTCACAACGTTAAAGACATGTCATTCACAGGTTGCCGCTGCACTCCCCAAAGAAACTCTACATCCTTGCCATTCCTTGGCACCTGGCGATTGGGTACTGGTGAAGGTATTTCAATGAAAGAATTGCCAGGTTCCTCATTGGAAGGGTCCATTCCAAGTCATCGTGATCACAATACTGCTGTGAAGTGTCAAAATCTGGCTTCCTGGGTGCATGCTTCACATTGTAAGAAGGTACCAACCCCAGACAAGGAAAGCTCTCAGCTCAGTCCACCTGACTGCTATCAGGCTAAGACTGAAGCTTTGCCCAACAGGGAAGCAAGTGCTAGTAACCTCTGTCCCTGCTCTCCATACAACCTTTACTCAAAACCACACCAATATTGAATAACTTCACCTTTGCCTACCATCAATAAGACGACATCAGCCAAATGGAAGCCCAGAGGTGGCTGCAACAAACAGCTTGCACCAGGAAAGGATTTATGCCAGCTGTCTGGCTCATTGCCATTTTACTCTTCAGTACAGCACTTCACCTCTATAAGGTTGCCCACCCTATCATTACAAGTGTTCAGCCTCCTATAATACTTGTACCATTGACTGAACCTCCTTGCCATCATAGAGTGTGCCACAAGACATCTGTATTATGCAAGTGATGAGATATTCTGCCCACTAAATTTATTAAACCGCACTGCATTAAATAAAATTTTTAGTAATACATATTTAAATTTGGTTGAAGCATACTGAGCTGTTCATGTATCAGAAAAACTGACAAATTTTGGGGTATGCAACTCTACTGGGGATACTGATAAGATGGTCTTTATGTTCGCCAGATCCATACCATGTTCTTGGTACCATACAGAGGTAGCCATCAGTCAGTTCAAGTTTACTTTACAATGGTTCGTGCCATGCCCTTTTATAGTATAAAGAAAGATTCCCTGCCACTACCATTCAAATTCTTGTCCTCGCTTGATTCAGAAGTAGACTTTTGTATTGAATCCCATGGCATTGCTATCAAAGGACATGACATTAGTACCATGGGATATAGCGATTGCAATTTTACTGTTGAACTTAATGCTACTTGGAAGCCATACTTTGGTAACCTTGGAAATCGGCCATGTCTCTTTATAGCAGAAAATGTATATAATGCCCAGAATTTTCTCCCTAGAGATGACACTTGCCAATTTGACCCCTTGCACCAATATCCTTGCTCATTTTACACTTGCTGTCAGCAAATTAAGATGAGTGATGCCCCTAAACATTATCTACCTTAGATCTGTTAGTGAATCAGAGACTTGACCTCTGTGGAAGAAATTGTTGTCTTTTCACCTTCATATTTTGTTTTTGGACTAACTGCCCCCCTCCCCCCAATGCACTTTGCATATGGAAATCTGGCCTATCATATTCTTCCCCCTGGTTGGAAGGGCAGATGTTATTTAGGAATAATTTTTCCTGACCTCCTACCTCTGCAAAGACCACAAGACCTTCATATCCCTGCCCCTCCTTCTCATTAGAAACAAGATATACTACCACTATCCAGCAGGTGGAATCAATTTTTGGTTCCCTTGTTCCTCAATTAGGCATCAATATGTTATGGGAGCAGTGCAAAAGATTTTCTGTGTTGAAAGAAACTGTAGCTAATTCCACTGCCTCTGATCTGGAGGTTATAGGTTCTGAGCTTACAGCCATGTGGACTACTGTCCTCCAGAACTGATTAGCCCTTGATTACATTCTTGCTCAAGAAGGCGGGGTCTGCAAACTTGTTGGCTCATCATGTTGTGTGTACATTCCTGATGATAATCACAGCCTGTTTGACAATATTGACAAAATACAACAAGCTGTGAAGAATTATAAAAATGGTCCTATTACTCCCTTTGGGTCCTTTGATGCAGGAAGATTTTTTTGATATATTGTCTAATATATTTTCCGGTATAGGAGGAAAATTTTTGTTGTTCCTAGTGTCAGTCCTGTCTATTCTTCTTTTACTTTGTATAATAATTGTGGTCATTAAAAGGTGTTTGTTGCCGTTCCAATGTCCTCCCCAGTTCCCCTCATCATTATAGAAACTCATACCATGCCATCTGAAACTCCTAGAACTTCTAGTAGCTTTTTATTGTCAAGTATATCATCTTCTGTAAGACCTACCATGACAAACTCCCCTTCTATTAAGTCCTCTACTTTGTCAACAGACAGTACAATGTACGCCTCTATGAAAAAGCTACAGACCCTTTAGTTTATGTAATCCCTCCACAGTTCTTCTGCTGAAACGCCTCCTAACCAAGGTAGCCTAAATGAAGAATGCTTACAAACTTGACATATAAAAGGCAGGTTAATTATGTACATGCAGTATTTTATATATGTTTGTTTGTTTTGTTCTTATGAACAAGAAGGAGGGATTGTGAAATGCATGCATGCATGTATGTATGTATATTTGATCTAATCCCTGATTGAATTCCTCTGTTAATGCAATTAAGGATTACCTTGGGTTTTTTTGGCTGCTGCTGCATACTGTTGGTTCATATTTAATTGGTTGTCTACTAAGACTCCAAGATCCCTCTCACAGTTACTGCTATTAAGCCTGGTTTCTCCCAATCTATAAATGTACTTTTGGTTTTTCTTGCCTAAGTATAAGACTTTACTTTTCTCTACATTGAATTTCGTTTTGTTAGATAGGGCCCAGTGCACAGGTCTGTCAAGAAGACCCTTCTGGAACTTGAACTTATCATTGACTATTCCTGCCAGCTTAGTTGGCTATTTCTGCCAATTTAGTATCATCTGCAAATTTGGTAAGTTCCCTTTCTATTCCCTCATCTAAGTCGTTTATGAAGATATTGAAGAATACTCCATATAGATTAACGACTACTTGTTGAGTACGTTTTGTCAGCCAGTTACAAATCCACCATCCAGCATGGTGGTGCTATCTATCCCCTTTTTTTTTTTACCAAGAAGTTGCAGTCTTTATCAAATGCCTTGCTGAAGTCTAACTATATTACACCCACAGTATTTCACCAGTCTACTAATTTAGTCACTATGTTGAAGAATGAAATAAGATTGGTTTGGCATGATTTGTTTTTAACAAACCCATGCTGATAGCTAGTTATTACTTTCCTCGATTCTAGATGTTGACAGATCTGTTTTTTTATTATCTTTCCCAGCATCTTCCTGGGCATTGATGTTAGACTGATTGATCTGTAGTTTCTTTCTTTTTTTTTAAAGAAACTTTATTAATTTTACCATTAAAAACAACACATCTACAAATTATATACAGAAAAAAACCAAACCGGCCTTGGCAGAGGCCAGGAAAGAAAGAAAGGAAAGAGAATGGGAGAAGAGAGGGGAGGGTAAGGTGGGGGAGGGTAGAATGGGAAAAGCAGTTGAAATAAAACCATATTTTTTGTGGCTGTCTGTAAGATCCTGTCTTCTTAAAGTGTATTGTCAGCGGTACTTTTCATTATCTCTATTTAGGTAGCCCTTGGCTAACATTTTTCTCGAAGCGGTCTATCTTTGATTTAGCTAATTATACCAAGGATTCCAATTGTTATATTAGATTGAGAATTCTTTATTTTTTAATGATTGGGTTAGTTTGTTTCAGCGCACTCTAGAATTTTCTGGATGATCATTTGTTCAGTGGGGGTGGAAGGTAGTTTCCAGCACTGGGCGAACGCCAGTCTGGCCGCAGTTAAGATATGAATTATAATATACTTCGATTTTTTGGATAATTGTTTGTTATGTCTCACCTGTATCCATAGGTGAGCATACAAAGTTCCAGAGTTCAAAATATTCAAACAAGAACAAAACCAGACTTTAAAAAGTTAACAGTACTGTTTTCCAGTCCTTGGCAGTCTTTCCGGAATCTCTCAGGCAACTCAGAATGGTTCATAAATCACAACGGCCGCTTCAAACGTATCCTTTCGAATCCACAAAGCACTACTCACTTTTCACTTTGCTCCAAGCAAAGATTGAGAGTCAACACACCTCCTTAAATCTCCTGTATGGGCGTGTCAGTCTCTCTAATTAATGTCGGGCTTGACGCCTCCCTTCAGATTGTGATTGACATTTCAATCTTCTCCTAGTTCTAGCGTCAAGCCAACATCTGTCAGTTTCCTCCTCACTAGAAGCCTCTGGCTCATTTTGTGGATCAGCTGCTGTCATGTACGAAGTCGAAGGTTCTGGAGTGGATTGTCTCTTCGACAATCTCTCATCCTCCTGGCTCACATCTATGCCCTCTGATAATTCAGACTCCACATTCACAGCAGGCTCAAACCTTCCATCTTCAGAGGCATCAGATTCAAAACTCCCAGCAGGGTCAATCCTTCCAGACACAACACTATCCCTCACTGCAGGGCCCTTCCCCCGAGTCTGACAATCAGGATGTGGTTTTGAAGGGAATTGTGCATGATATATTCGAATAAGGTCTGGGGCATGCACCTTGGACTTATCCTGCCAAGAACGAATCTCCGTTTCATTTTCCAGTTTCCCCACGAAGTACTGGAATCGCCCCTTCAACCATCGTGAATCATAAATTCCGACCACTGTAGTATCCATAATAGGTCCAGTGATAGGCCTGGATGGAGAACCCGTATCTTCTGGAGAACGGAGAGTACACGATGGGGTATCAGGTACTAACAGGGAGCGGTGAAAAACAGGGTGAATGCGCATGGAGCGCGGTAGGGTGAGCCGATAAGCCACAGGATTAATAACTGCCTCGCTAGGGAAGGGACCAATAAAGCGATGATCCAATTTCCTAATCGGACGATCGACCCGAAGATGTTTCGTTGACAACCACACCTTGTCACCCACAGCCAATGGAGGGGTCGCTCTATGTGAACGATCTGCGAAACACTTATAGTCTGCTTTTGCTAGTTCCAATTGTCTGGAAATTAATTGATGCACGGCATATAACTCCGACAAAAAGTCTCATGCCTCTGGAACTGGAGAATCTGCGATCGACAGGGGGAAAAACCTCGGATGGTAACCCACATTTGCATAAAAAGGCATCATGTGGGTGGAGGTGTGCTGAGAATTATTAAAGGCAAACTCTGCCAATGGAAGATAGGTCACCCAGTCGTTTTGCTGTTGATTTACAAAACATCTGAGGTATTGGGCGAGGATGCCAATTACTTTCTCAGTCCCGCCATCTGTTTCCGGATGGTGCGCCGACGTTGAACATACTTGTACTCGTAGTGCGTTCATTAGGGTTTTCCAGAATTGAGCGGTGAACTGAACACCGCGATCTGAAACAACTCTGTCTGGTAAGCCATGTAAACGGAACACATGTTGTATGAAAAGCTGGTCAGTAACATAAGCCGATGGTAATCTTCTACACGGGATGAAATGAGCCATCTTAGTGAGCATGTCAACCATCACAAGTACCGTTGTATAACCCGACGACGAGGGCAAGTGCATTAAAAAGTCCATAGAGATTGCCCCCCAGGGTCGGTTCAGAGTTGGTAGTGGTTGCAGAAGTCCAGGAGGCGCACCTGACGCAGCCTTCCCTTGTCGACACGTAATACAAGAGACAACGTAGGAAAAGACGTCATGTCAAACTCGAGGCCACCAAAAAGTCCGGGTGATCAAATGTAGAGTTTTGTAAAAACCAAAATGACCAGCAGCGGGGTTGTCATGACATTGCGTCATGATGAGGGCTCTAAGTGTCCTGGTGGGTACATACAATAAACCCCGATGTCTTAGCAAGCCCTCCTCCAAAGTCCATGGGGAATCAGGTCCAACTTCCCTCCTTCTTTGTTGTAAGCACGCGTCCAATCGCTGCGCCTCCCGTATTCAAGCCCTCAAATCCACCAGATCCTGAATCACAGCCAAAGATTCCGGTGGCAAAACCTTTCGTGGAGGAACAGGATCCTCGGGACCAATATATTCAGGTTTTCTTGACAATGCGTCTGCTCTCCGATTCTGTCCACTGGGAACATAGGTGATGGAAAAGTTGAACCTTGCGAAAAACAACGACCACCGGATCTGGCATTGGTTCAACTTCTTGGCAGTAGACAAATATTCCAAGTTACGGTGAAGTGTCCGAAGCTCCACCTTGTGCCGAGCCCCCTCTAGATGATGTTGCCAGGTCTCAAATGCAACCTTGATAGCCAGCAACTCTTTTTCCCAGATAGTATAATTGCGCTCGGAAGTTGTGAGCTTCCTTGAATAATATGCGCATGGGAAAAGAGGTGCGCCATCCCTTGAAGCTTGCAACACCGCCCCAATAGCTACATTAGAGGCATCCATCTCGACCACAAATGGACGATTCGGATCAGGATGCCTCAATATTGGTTCAGCCACAAAGGCTTTTTTTAGAGCCTCAAAAGCCTGTTGCTTTTTTCTGTGGCATTTTCTGTAATTCTTTTTCAAGTCTTTTATACTCATCTTCCAAGATATTAAATTGAAATTGGACATAACTAAACATAAAATGGGTTTAATAGAGAAAGAAGAACTGGCACAGAAAATTAGAAATGCTAAACAGAATTATTTTGAAGATGCAAATAAACCAGGTAGATGGCTAGCATATAAATTGAGAAAGGAGAAAGAGTCAAGGAAAATATCGCAGTTAATAGATGACCAAGGCCAAGTTTGTTATGGTAATAAGGAGGAAAAGGAAATTATTCGATATTTCTATGGACAACTATATAAGAAAGAGAATATTGATGAGGAAAAAGTCAAACAGTACTTACAGAATGCTAACCTACCTAAGATATCTAAAGAGACTGAAGAAATGCTAGAAAGTAATATAACAATGATGGAATTAAGTGAAGCACTTAAGAAACAAAATAATGGGAAAGCACCAGGTCCAGATGGGCTCCCAGCAGAATTCTACAAAATATTACAAGAATCATTGAGCACTCCATTGTTAGAAGTCATGAATGAAGCTATGTCAAAGAAGATGATACTTAAAACATGGTCAGAGGCTTATATTACACTTATTCCAAAAGAAGAGGCTGATCCACTGCAAATTAAGAACTATAGACCGATTTCTTTATTAAATGCAGACTATAAAATCTTTGCTTCAATTTTAGCAGAAAGACTTAAAAAATATCTGAATAATTTTATTCATCCAGATCAAAATGGATTTCTGCCAAAGAGACAAATTAGAGACAATGTGAGAGTAATTCTGGATACTTTGGAATACTATGAGGCACATCCTGAAAAACAAATGGCTTTGATATTCCTAGATGCCCAAAAGGCATTTGACAATGTGAACTGGAGATTTATGTTACTTCTATTGGAACAGATGGGTTTTGCCAGAAGATTTATCCAAGCAATAGAAGCTATTTATCATGAGCAAACAGCAAAGGTAATGATGGAGGGAGAACTTACAGACTCTATTAATATAAGAAAAGGCACAAGACAAGGATGTCCCCTATCTCCTTTGCTATTTGTATTGACTTTGGAAGTGTTGAATAGAAATATTAGAGAAGATAAAAGTATAATGAAAATTAAAAAGGAAGAATTCAAATTGCAAGCCTTTGCAGATGACTTAGCCTTTATTTTGGAAGATCCTTTAGAAACAGCTCCGAAGCTATTGGAAAAAATAGAGACATGTGGTGAGGTGGATGGTCTGAAAATAAATAAAGATAAAACAAAGGTCTTGTCAAAGAACATGTTACTAAGACAAAGAGAAGAACTGGCAGACCTGTTGAAAATCCAAGTTACGAACAAGGTCAAGTATTTGGGGATATACTTGACATCAAGATGTAGTACATTAAAAGAGAATAATTATATTAAACTTAAACAACAGATAGCCTTAGATTTGAAGAAATGGGAAAACTTACAACTGTCATTAATAGGGAGAATTTCAACAATCAAGATGAATATTTTACCCAGAATCTTATTTTTGTTTCAAACAATACCAATTAGGCTCGGAAAAGACTATTTTCAGGACTTAAATAAAATTGTGTTGAAGTATATATGGCAAGGTAAGAAAGCGAGGATAAAGCTAAAGCTCTTGCAAGATGCTAGAATTAGAGGAGGTTTGGCCTGCCTAATTGGGAGCTGTACTACCAAGCTGCAAATTTGATGTGGGTTAAGGAATGGATACTAAGAAAGACTAGATTGTTGACACTAGAAGGTCATGATTTGTTGTTGGGTTGGCATGCTTTTTTATGGTATAAGGGAACTAAAACAC